AATTAATTTGTTTAAATGACTTTTTAATTACAATTTGATATTTCGAAAAACAGACCTACATATATGGATATCACACCATTAGAATACGTTTGTTTTTAGAGATAAAATGAAAGAGATTGTTAATGAGAGGACTGTCAGTGAAGAGACTACTAGTCAAGAGATAAAAAAGAATTCATTTTCTATTCTCCGCGCTTTCGGAGATGTAGAAAGAGGATCCAATCTACTGTCCTTGCTATTTTTTTTTAATTTTTTTTTGAGTTGCTTCATAAAAGTATGTCCTTATGGAAGTGGACATGTGCTCATGAGAAATTTATTCAATAATAACAATAAAAAAAACTCATGAGAAATTGTTATTAGACTTTAGGGGAAATATTAAATAAATTAGAAATAAAAATATTAATTATGATCAGTGAAAAATCGGTGTAATTGATAAATACTACCATCTCCATTTTCCCTTTAATATATATTTATTTTTAAATAAAAATATGCAAAATGTTATAAATAAATTATTTTTTTAACCAAATGTTATTAAAATTAGACCGAAAGCATCGATTTCATATGTATTTATTAATGTAAATCCCACTGCTATCATATTTAAGGAGAATGAAAATAAATAAAAAATAAAAAAAGGTACTCTATGATGATGTGAAATAGTTAAAAAGAACAATGTTACAAGATCTTCAAAGGTAGTAGGCATTTTACCTATCTAAATATTACTATAAAATATATATTTTATTTTGCCTATCAACTATTTCATGTTTTTACTCCAACCATGCTCTTTATTTTAGCTATTTATCCAAATACTATTAATTTTATAAAATGTCACGTCAACAATAAAGATGGAGGGAAATGATCCTAATGATTGAATACATTTTGCCTAGCGTTGAAGGCTAGCTACATGTAGCTAGTGAATATGAGTTGAGCCAAAATGCCTAATCATATGCCTAGTGCATTGGAATTGAAAAAAATGAATCATACTAGGCATTTTAACTAACAAGTATTATATGCCTAGTGCATTGGAAGAATTGAAAATTGTCATTAATGGCATCTTCAAAAAATACAACAAGTTTTATAGTTTTAGCATTATTTACTGAATTCTCTTTTAATAAAGTTAAAAGGATCTGAGCTAAGACAGATGGTACAAAAATATAAAAATAAATAAGATAAAATATATTTTTTATTGTAAAAAAGATGAAAACATTATTTTTTCATTCATATAATTAACGGATTATTAATGATATAATTTAAAATTTTAAGAAAATTTAATAGAATTATGTCAAACTTGTGGAGTTGACAATATTTTTCTAAATTTCATAGGAGATAGTAATTTACCCAAAAATATTTATCAACCAAATCACTCTGTGGTCCAACCTAGACTCTATTGTAACTATATTTCCAATGTCTTTCCTTTTTCAACCAACTTTTCAGGTCTTTTGACCAAAAAACAGAAAAAAAAAAAAAATACTAAATAGTAAATACCAACTTTTTTTTTTTGGTAAACATAAATACCAACGTTTTAACAGCATGAAGTACCAACCAACTGAGGAATGGCGAGCTTGGTATACACACCATATGATATACTACATATGGCACCAACCAAAGCTATGAAGCATATATCCTATCTAACTATGTCACTCATCATTAGTTGTAGAAAGCACATTAATTGGATGTGTAATTTGCATTTTAATTTTCTCCTCCTAACAATATTGCTCTTCTTCTCCCCAAATGTTGTTTTTTGCAGCCAAACTGTTAAGACCTTACCTGGCTATTATGGTGACCTTCCATTCAGTCTTGAAACTGGGTAACTGTCTCTCTCTCTCTCTCTCTCTCTCAATGGTCGGTGGTGATCGGCGATAACATTACAGAGATGGTGGTTTGGTTTTTCAGGTACATTGGTGTAGCTGAATCCCAGTTGTTTTACTATTTTATAAAATCAGAAGGGAATCCAAAAGAGGATCCTCTTTTGCTTTGGTACTGTGGAGGTCCTGGTTGCTCTACTCTCAATGGACTTATTTATGAAATTGGTAATGCTCTCTTTTCGATCTTCTGTCCCAATTTTCTGTCTCATTTTTTTATATGTTGCCATTATTTGCCATTATTTAAAATTTATCATCATTTCATTATTTATTCCCTTATGTAAAAACTTTCACCGCATCAAATCCTTCCACTCAAGTGGGGATAATATTATAACATACAAAGTATGAGATAAAAAGTTGTGATAAAAAATCAATCACATTGTTTGCTTTCATTTTTTTAAAAATACTTTTCAAAAAATTTTAGCTCAGTTTGGCACAACTCTCAAATTATAGTTCCCTCCATTGATTTGAGTGTATTGCTTGATTTGAGTGTATTGCTTGTTTTGAGCTTTCAAATTATAATTCTACACTCATTTCTCAAAACTCAATTCAAAACATAATCATTACTTTTCAAAACTCATAACCAAACACATAATTCAAAGCTCTTTTCAAAACTTAATTCAAATCAATATTTTAATTTTTTAAATATTTTAAATATTTTAATATTTAAATATGTTACGATTTTTTTTAATTTTTTGAATATTTTTAAATATTTTAATTTCAAAATATTACGATTTTAATTTTTTAAATTTTAAAATATTTTATAAAAATAAATTCAAACTCTATTTTATAAAAATATTTTTAAGTATTTTAATTTTTTTGTTATGTATTTGGTTACGATTTAAGTGTAGAGTTGTAAAAGTAATATGGAGTTTCGAGTTATGTGTTTGGTTATGAGTTTTAAAAATAACTTCTTAATTGAGTTTTGTTTTATGTATTTGGTTACGATTTGAGTGTAGAGTTGTTTTTAAATTTAAAATATTAACATTTTAAATTATTTGAATTATTTGAATATTTATTTTAATTTTTTACTTATTAAATTTTTTAGATTATTTAAATATTTATGATTTAAATTTTTTGAATATTTATTTTGAAAAAAGATTATTTCCTTTGTAGTATTTTCAATTAAAAAATTGATTAATGTTATTTTCTGTTAAAAATAATTTTTTTAATTAAATTTTAAAAAGAGTTTGGTTATGAATGTTGATCAGAATTTTCAATAGTGTGAAAGTAGTGTGTTTTGTTATGAGTTATAATAATTTGAATTATAACTAAACAAATTTTCTTACTTCACATGTCAAATCAAACTTTCAAAACTCAATTCAACACTCTATTCAAAAACCATAACCAAACAAATTTTATACATTCAAATTATAATTCCACAACTCACAAACTTAAAATACAACTCATACTCTCAACTCATACAACTCATACTTACAACTCACAAAACTCTACCAAACACAACCTTTACTTTCTTGTTTTTCATTTTATTTTTTATTTTTACTACTTTTTTAATATTTTAAGCAATTTTTTTAATATTTAGACACACCTAACATAAATACACTTAAAAAATATAATTTTTGTGGAAATAATCTTTAAAAAATTCACTAACTACTAAAAATATAAAAATTTAATATATTTTTCGTATTTTTGTGTATTTATTAATTTTTAATATATTTTTTCACAAATATTTTACTTTTTAGATACATCTAAGTAAAGTCCATCTAAAAAAGTAAAAAAAAATGCTTAAAATTTTAAAAATATTCACTAAAAAAATACAAAAAATAAAAAACTCAACTTTCATAAAACTGAAACCAAATACACTGAATGGCAGTTGTAGAAATTTTTGTTGATTGAGAGTCATGCTAAAGCTAAAAAATTAATTCTCAAATCATATATAAAAACATATTATTTTTGTCAAAAAAAATAAAATAATAAACTCATTATTGAACGAAAAAAATGACTAATGGGTAATAAACCCGAGATTAATTCAACCAAAAAAAATCATAATTCAATCAAAAAAATCCTATGCTAGTGTAATATGTTCTCTAAATAATTCAAACAAACCAAGTAGTATCCTTCAAATTACAAAATTTGTGTGGGAGACAGTTGAGATGGTTGCAACAACAATAATTAATGGGTGCAAAACAAGTACAAACAAACGATTATCAATGATTAATATTTTTAAAAAAATGAAATATTCTTTTATTTGTATTTTTTTTTGTTGTTTGGGGGGGGGGGGGGTTAGTGGGGGGGGCGGGGGAGAGAGAGAGTTTGAATGGTAGTTAATTTTTTTAAGCGGAAAGGTTTCAATTTTTTGGTTGGACAAAAAGGTTAAACCCCTGCAACCCAAGAAGACTTAGTATAAGTTAAAAATTTTCAAATTAAAAAAACTCGTGATGAAGAAACTGGGACCAAGTGAAGCCAACATTTTGTTAGTGTAGTCAGGTGTATCACATTTACAAGTGAAACCAACATTTTGCTGGATTAACATTAAAGTCGACACTCGTGACAGATTCTTTTCACTAACTATTTTCACCATCCATATTTAAAGAATGTGCATAATTTTTTTCAAAATAATTAATTGTTACTAGAATTTCTTGCTATTACAACAATTTTTGCATTAAGTTGACTTAACTAATTATTTTTTAAATAAAAATCAAAACAAATTGATCCATGACAAAATCAAACTTGTATTTTCAGTTTTGTGAAGCTTTTTCAATTTTAATTAAAATGGAGTAAGTTACGTTAATTGCAATTTTTACAATGTAGGTCCATTGGCTTTCAATATTACAGAATACAATGGCGGTACACCACCATTGGAATACTATCCATACTCATGGACACAGGTACATCAATATATAAATTTCTAATTTTTTTTTTTAATCTATGATTAGTTGATACAAATTCAAATAATTTTCTTATTAGACAGCCAACATCTTATTTGTTGATGCACCGGTGGGCACTGGTTTCTCGTACCCCACAAACTCAAATGCATTCCCTACCTCGGACACAAAATCAGCATTACAGACCTATGAGTTCCTTATAAATGTCAGTCAAGATTAATTTCATACAAATTGAGAAAAACAATGAGGAAATCATTATATATAAACTCTTTTATTTTCTTTTTGGATTTTTTTTTTAAAACCAATTGTGCTTAGTCTTTGTTTGGAATTGAAATGGCAATGCAGTGGATCAATGAACACCCTGAATACCTAAAAAACCAATTGTTCATCGGTGCTGATTCATATTCAGGCATAACTGCTCCAATCACCCTGAATACCTAAAAAACCAATTGTTCATCGGTGCTGATTCATATTCAGGCATAACTGCTCCAATAGTTGTTCAACATATATTAGACGGTAACTCACGCTAATTATGAGAATTAGTAACTATTTTTAGCCTAATGATACACTCTTCATGCAATAAAGATCACATGTTTGATCATTAGAACATGTTTTGATTGATTATCATAATTCTTCTTCTTCTTCTTCTTCTTCTTCTTCTTCTTCTTCTTTTTTCTTTAAAGGAAATGAAGCTGGGGACAAGCCGCGGTTGAATCTCAAAGTAGGTAACCTAACGATGTAAAAAAATCAAAGACTTGATTAGTGACTCGATAATTAAACATGGTTATTCCTATTATAAAGTGGTGCATTATAAATTTGTGAAATGAAAATGACTCTTGAATCACTACAGGAAAAATAGGTTTAGACGGCGTTTTTTTAACGGCGTTTTTTTAAACGTCACTTTTATAAATATTTAACGACGTTTTATAAAAACGTCGCAAATTTCGTTAATAAAACGACACCGTTTTGAAATCGGAAACGCCTCCAAATACGTTGGCCCTCACGCGCTATTTTGATACTTGTTAAAGCTTTGGAAACCCTTATTTTGAATCTCACGCCTTCACAATCCCCACGCCTCTCTCTTGCTCACCCCCAATTGCTTCTAAACCCTTGACACCAATTTCGATTCAGAGCCATTTTCTTTGAGATTCATACAGATTCAAAATTTGACTTGGTTGGAAACCAGAATTTCGATTTGAAGCTCACATCAGAGCGATTCGATTTGAAGCTCTGAAGCTCCGCTGTCTTGCTCTCTCTCTCTCGATTCATCCTTTGTACTCTGCGATATCGATCTGAAGCTCTGGGAGATTGCAAAGAGAGAAGAGGGGTTGGTTTCGATCGCAGAGGAAGTGATCTCAGGAGAGGCTGTGCTTGATTTCTCAGATCGGTCTCAGAGTGATTTCGATTTTGAGATTCATCTCAGAGCGATTTCGATTTTGAATTTCTCTCTCTCGATTTCGAAGCTTCACTGCGATGTATTGATCTCTCTCTCTCTCTCTCTCTCTCTCAAGCTAAAATCTTGTTAAAACAAGTGTTTAATTGTGTTTTTTGCTTGTATTTCACAGGTATTAAGTCTGCATTAAATCAATGTTTCAATTTGTGTTCTGATAATTGACTTTCTCATTCATTTTGTTTGTTAATCTTTGTAATCTATCAAACCAATGTTTCAATTTGTATATATATAATAGATCCGTGTGTTCTTTTTAGATTTCTCTTCTCTGTTTTGAGTTTGTCTGCTGTGTAGAATTAGTGAACTCGATTAGGATGAATTGATAGAGACTAACTAGTTACTTCATGGATGCCTATTGTACTTTCAGTTGTGTCTGACTTCCCTGTAATTTCTTCCCTTGTGATTTCAATATAATTTCTGCTAAAAAACACCAGCCATCTCTAACAATCTGCTCAACATGGGTACAATGTTGATTTGGTTGTTGATTTTTTATTTTATTTTTTATGTTGTTATTAAATTTCATCACCTTTGGATACTTTGACCATTTTAATTATTTTCTTGTGTATCAGACTTCAATATAGTAATAATATCCTTCTGAGGTGGTCCACTTATCCTGATGAGCTGAGCTGACCCTTTTTCTTCTCTCTTTTGTGTTGTTGAATAGCTTTGACAATTTTATGCAACTTGTGATTGGTACATTATGAACACCCATGAGCTGAGTTGAGCTAACCTGGAGCTGAGCTGCAGCTTTGGACTCTATTTCGTCTTCGCTTGCCAATTGCTCCTCCTCCAACCACTCATCTTTGCCCTAGGTAACATTGTCCCACTTCGTTCTCTTCTTCTTCAACCTCCGAATTGATTTCACTTATAGATGATTCGACTTTAAGTTCAATCTTGTACAGAATACTTGTGGTTAATCCACTATATTGAGCTCTATACATATATATGCAAGTGTCATTACATCACAAGAAGTTTGCCTCAATGGCTAAAAACACAAATTGCTTCATATATAGAGAGAGACGAGAGAGAGAGAGAGAGAAAAAACTCATACTACCAAAACCAGCTCACATATTAGACAAAAACAGTTACACATCATATGCAATTAAACCATGCAATGTGAGACAAAATATGAATAGTACAGACTCAATTACCTTTCCTTGACGGATGATTCTTGGGAAACTCCCAATCATATCAACTACAGTGAACTCAACTGCTATAGAAATTTTTGATTTCTTATAGGACAGTTAAACTATTTCAGTTCATGCAAATTGAGGAATACACCAACTAGTTGTTCCATTTGATATAAAAATAAACCAAAGCTCATAAAGAAAGACCAGCACCTATGTGGTGTGTGTGAGAGAGAGAGAGAGAGTAATACTCTGGTCCATATACATCACGCTATTACAATGGATCAATTATCCACCCATTTTCCTTTGGAGACTTGGCACTGAAGCAAAGAAAATTTTATCATAATAATAATAAGGTGTGTGGAAAACACACCAGATAAACTATTGTTAGTTGTGTAATCAATAATTGCAAAAGACAAATTAAATCAAGGATAGCAAATTTCAGTTACCTTGTTGATATCAAGGGTGCATCCGTCTTCTCAGAATTGCTTGACATACAGTATCATCAGGAATGCGTACGCCTACATTTTTCCGGTAGCATATTTGGAAGTTGTAGTGCCATATCTCGTGCACTGTTTTGGCAGTTCTTTACTTGCAGTTAAGATGAAAGTATACTGTAACAACAGGAGAGAAAAAAGAAGGGGGGGGGGGGGGGAAGAAAAAAAAAGGGAGTCCATTTACAAGTCCATAATCTCCATATCAGAAGTTTGAGGAATTTGAGGAGTCTTTTATACCAAAGCCATCCAGTCAAAAAGCAACTAAGTACACTAGCATCATAGTATGATCCAAGCACTATGGCACACTTGCAGAGACAGCAAAGCCAAAGATTCTTCAGATTGGCCCGGAAACTGTCCCAAACCAAAGATCTTCAGACTCTTGCTGCGGACAGGTACGCGAATAATCTGAAGCCGGTTTGGGTTATCAAATGACTTGAAAGCTGTCAAGGACTTGAAAGCTGTCAAAGGTTTTGAGACCTCCTGCAAAGTACAATCACTCTCATAAGAACTTTTTGGCATTTCCTCAACCACAGGGCAGATATTTTACAACATAAGCAAGCATAAGGTATGGAGCTTCTCTCCTACCCCCCATGAGTGGTCAGCAAAAACATCTCCATACCAAAGAATTTTTAAGTCATCAGATCATCTAATCAAATTCATATTTGAATACATACAGTAAAACCAAGTCTCGTATCCCATTCAATGGAAGAAACTACGCATGAATTATTTTTTTCCGTTGGCACAGTTTAATGAGTTGTGTCTAATTGTTTTTCTATAAAAATTTTCTTTTTAATTTTGTTGATATCTATCAACCACATAATATGTTAGAAGCACAACTCTGCTTAAGTCAACTTACTTCGATTGTTCACATAATCTCCAATTACTAAAATTACATTTAATATATTCAGTTTTATTCCTACTTATTTTAAACTCTTTTGGACTTGATTGCTCTCCAGTTTGTAATTTGGTTTTTTAGTTTCATCTACTAACTACTAAGGACAATATCATCTGCATAGACAATGGGACATAAATTCTGCTGCAGAGTCAGAATATTAAACAAATCATGATTCACGCCATCCCGGTTGACCCAAAATCTGCAACCTTTTTCCATGACTAAAATAAGAAATAATTCTAAGTATTAAAAACTGATGGGGTTTCCAATCCCATTTCAGAAACAAAACAAGAGAAGTAAAAGGTAAAATAATAAACAGACATCTCATACCTCTGCACAACCAAATAAAATTATTTCTAGTTATTATTTGCAAAATACACACATCAAGATTCATCGCTAATGTTCATAACTATGTTCCAAAAGCAAACATCCAAAACTAGAACTCAATGTCTCCATGGGCTTTAACCATTGTGTTACCAAAAATGCAGAAAACAGTCACCCTATCATCTATCTCTAATCAATTATGAGGGCAACTGAAAAGTACAAGGTCTGGGCAGATTTGATTATTGTGATTGTAGATTAACAACTATCATAAACTTTGTGCTCTCTTGCAAATATTAGCAAAAGTTTCATAAGAAATGGGAATGAAAAAGACAAAGCTCTCAACTTTTGGCATTATTGTACTGAATTCTTGATAGAAGGACTACTTGAAACTCTGGGCAACTTCACACTTGCCATCAATGGACTCAATCTGTATGGCAATTCACCATGTTCAAACCAATTGCTCGTTCTTCTATTGAAACTCCGACTTCCGAAGCAAGAAAACTTCGCTGCCCTCTCGGCGAACCCAGGATCGGCAAAAGTGATGGCAGATTGTGCCAAAAACACTTCATAATAAGTTATCATCAAGAGAAGAAAACAATACCAAGGTCAACATGTTTTAAAAGGGCTCCCACTTGCAAAAACTATATGTTCTCTAGCATGCTTGAAAACATCAACAGCAGTGCATTCAGCTGCACCAAAGTATATGCAAATACTATGTTTAATAGAGAAATTGGGAGCTCTATAAGTAAAATAGGTCTTGTAAAGACAAAACCATTCAATGGTTGGATTGAGCAAAAATGGCAGGTTTAGTAGAATCCAACTCTCGCATGGCCTTGAGCACCTGATTTACATGCAAGCAATATAAGTAAGGAAATATGAAAATGTAAGAAACACACATCTAACGAGCTCAAAAAATTGACTCTCAAGTATCCATTACACAGAGAAAAGGGGACAACACTCACCTTTATTGTGCTTAGTTAGGGTCTTACAGTTAAACAAAAATACACAGCCAAAGTTGAGTATAAGAGGATGAGGAAATTAAGCATGTGAGGGGTTAGTAGGAAAGGGCATAATGGCCATGGATTTGACTGGAGGTTATTGCTCTTTGAAATCTTTCTAGAAAAGGATTCATTAAGTCAACTAATAAGTAAAATTGGTGCATTGTTGTGTTGAGCTAAGTGGAGTGAACTATGATAGTGATGATAACAAATGACATTTAGTTATCTTGATGAGGTATGCTTTTATATCCTAATAATAAATAGATGAATCGGAGTATGTAGTAGAAGTTGGGTAAGTAAAATGATAACTTTGATAGGATAAAACAAAACCATCTCTAAAAGTATTGCCAACATTTAGCAAGTGAGAACAAAAAGTCGCATAGCAAAAT